GCATTTTTCTGAGCCTACTCTTAGTTCAATTTCCATAGTTCCTTCAATTCGTCACGGATTTTCTTTCGTTCCCTTTTCGTTTTGTTTACCCTATCTTTTCGGATACTTGTATCATTTTGTAATTGGAACCTCTCATCTTCAAACTTCTTCAATTTTACTTCTCATTCTTTATGTTCTACTTCAAATTCACTTCTTACTATTTCTAGTACGGATGTGACAGCTTTGAGATGTTCCTCCATGGATCGAGTATCCTCACTATCAGCTACTGGGATATTGTCATTTTTCCTTAGTCTCCTCCACTCAACATAATCCGGCATGAGCATTTCTTAAGCTCCTAGAGCATCAAATCAAAATATTTTCTTCAATCACTTGGATATGTCTTTAACCGTCATCTTGTAGTTGTTCTCATGATATGCAAACTCGGACTTTCAAAGCTCATGAGTGGCTGAAATGAATTATCATGTTCTATATTGTCGCATGACTAAAAGTAAAGTCTAGCCGACCCCTCCTATTAATCCGAGTAGCATTACTACATTTGAGTCTCCGCATCAATAGATTATATCACTATGTGCCAACTAAGGGACTTGTTATACAATCTCTTTATCTTGAAGGTGTGTGTGAAAGAATATGTTGAGATTTGTACACAAGGTAAGCTAAGTTCGAGATTCATTGGGTCGTATCATATTCTAAAGAGAGTTGAACCTGTTTCTTATCAGCTTGAGTTGCCTCCCCAGCTTAGTCGAATTCATGATGTTTTCTATGTTGAGGCGATGTTGTTCGGATCTAGGTCACATCATTCAGATTGAGGATGTGGATTTAAGGCCTGATTTGTCTTATGAGGAGTAATATATTCATATTTTAGACTGAGATGAGAGAGTTATTCAGAATAGGCAGATTCTGATGGTTAACATTTTGTGAAGCAACCGCAATCCCGCAGAAGCTACCTGTGAGACATTGTAATCGATGGAGGTTCAGTTTCCGCATCTGTTCAAACCATGTAAATTTTGAGGATGAAATTTCTTTTAAGGGGGAGAGTTATCACACCCCTAACTTAGGGGTACATTTTTCTAATATTAATTGTAGGGATTAAATTGAAATTAAGTTAAATTCGGGGACTAAAGTAAATTTTTAATTAATTTCAAATCTAATTTAGACAGAAACAAAAACTCAGGGACCAATGACATGATTTTTCCATTTCCTATTTTGAAACACAAAAATCTCTCTCTAACATTTCTTTTTTAAAAAACTTTCTCCAAGAAACTTTAAACAACACTTCGTCACCACCATAGCTCTATTTACTACACCGCCTATACCATTAGAATACTTGTTTCCCTCGAGTCCACCGATTTCTATTTTGTAGTTTTGTCGTCAGTGTGTGGAGGGGTGAGCAATAGCAAGATTTTGACATAGAGTAATCAAGCTCCTCGTCATACACCGACGTGAACCAAGCTTAGTAAGTGTCTCAAAATCAATTAAAATGCATTTTAGATTTTTTTATGAATTGTTTTGACCAAAAACAAGGCCACATGCGCCTCCCACACGTCGTCGTTTCGCATGGGGCTTATTCTTCGCCTGTTAGGCTTCTAGAAGCTATTCAATCTGACCCGCTAACCCGTTTGACATAACCCATTTGTAACCCAACCCAAAACCCATCCAACTGAATTTCATTTGACCCAATTCCCGAATGGAACAACTAAATCGACCCAACCAGACCAATCCAATTAAACTGGACCAAATCAATCCAATCAAACTAGACCAATCGAGCCACACCCATTGAGATGTTGACCGTTGACCCTGTCAACCACCATTGACTGCCGATTTTTACCATTGAATACCGTCGTTGGCAGCGTTGACTTTGACCATTGACTTTTTTCAAAAACCTATCTCTTGACTTTTTTAACGTTCTAAGTTCGATTTTACGGTTCGTTTTGCCAAATTATGATATGAAAACCCAAAATAATCCCGTTAAACTGAAAATGGTTAGTATTTTATCATTTTTGCATTTTTATTTGGGATTTCATTATGGAATTAATATGAGATTATATTTTTATGAAGATACTTATGATTCCCTTGATCAAGGGTCGACTAGATCCGGTGTTGCTCGTCCGGTATATCAACACGACACACGTTCTTCGAGAGCTACTCGTAGTTTTTTGTAAATTATTTAATTAAAGTTTATTATTTATTTTACTAGGATTTTTATATAGTTCTTTCGACTCCTAGTATCTAGCACTGCCGCTAACCATGATAGGCAGACCCGATAGTAGTCTATCATACCAGACTTCTTATATCGATACAAGTATGTTCCTGATGGTGTTACATTACTATTTTGAACTATCTATCTGAATTGTTTTGGATTTTTGATGATATTTAAAATTTTGACTTCATGATATCTGATTTACCGTATGCATTAAGTTCTGATATTTGATTTACCGTAAACTTTTGACATGACATTTGGTTATTGTATTTCTGTATCTGATTCTAGAATATGTCATGTTTTCATGTTTTAAAATATTAAACTACTATGTTCACTCAAACAAATGCATATTTACTGTCATTGGGGGTATGATTGGAGGAAGTATATCAGGCTTAATCTATCACTTGTAAGAGCTTACCACATTCTCTTCTGCTTTGTGCACATGGTAAGCCCTTACTGTATGTCCTTATGCTATAGTATAAGGTTCTTACCTGGTGTACATGTGGGTGTATGGTTTAGGGGAACTTACATATTCTAGTGTTTGAATTAGAGGTGTTCAAGTTTTAAATGTTTGTTTTATAAAATAATTTACCGAAGTATTTATCTAAATATTTTTATACACCACAAGGAGCACACTAGGATTTTTAGGTCACTCTTTAATTTTTAATTTTTCAGATATTATCCAACAGTAGACTAGCAGACTTGGCATCAATAGTAGACTAGCAGACTTGGCATCAAGAGGTTACTCTATTATATTTTGGAGTTCTTTTTAGGTGAGGTTACTCTATTATATTTTGGAGTTCTTTTTAGGTAAGAAAATATTTCAAACTCTTATGATTAGTAAAAATATAACAATTCTCTCTATAGAGATAGTGTCCCCAGATATTCAAAGCAAATACCACATCTACCAACTCCATATCATGGGTCAGGTAATTACACTCATGCGACCTCAACTGACGGGTTGCATAGGCGACTACCCTTCCCTCCTTCATCAGGACAACCAAGTCCAAAGCGTGAAGTATCACTATAAACTATAAAATCTTTCCTGGGCTCAGGTTGAATTAGAACTGGAGCCTGAGACAAAGCTGTTTTAAGTTTCTCAAAGCTCTTTTACTGAGCATCACCCTAATCAAAATGAATATTATTCCTGAGTATCTTCGTTAAAAGGGAAACAATGATGGAGAACCCCTCGATAAAAATATATATAGCACCCAACTAAACCCAAGAGAGATATTCTTGGGTTACTTCTAACTTACAATAGTCTTGATCTTGTTCGGATCAACCTGGATACCACTAGCAAACACAATATAACCAAGAAAACTCACATCTCGAAGTTAGAATTCACACTTTCTCAACTTGGCATACAGATGATACTCTTTCATAGTCAAGGGTGTTACATTTAATGGTATCAGAGAATTCGAAATAAAGTCGTTTTGGTTTTAAAAAGTGTACATGCCAATTTTTAATAAAGTCTTTTTGATATGATAAGGGATCAATATATTATCCTTCCTAACACTTTTAGTAAATTGATCTTAATAGATGTCGAACTTTGAAAGCTCCCGAAGTGATGTGGGAGATAGGATGAAGGAGAGTAGTAACTCACCTACCCCAAGGAGGTAGGGTGAGGAGCAGGAACAACCTGGAGTGCCTGTGCAAGATCACGTGACTTTCTTTCAGACGTTAGACGCGATCTTGACGCGTTTCCAATCGTCTGCCTCCTTAGCCCCTAAGATGAATATCTCTAAAGAGCTGAGAAGTTTATGAGTGCTTGAACTTAGGGGAAGAAACTGAAGAAGGTCCAGTTGCAGCCGATATATGGCTCAATGACTTGAAGGTTATACTTGAGAATCTTCATTATTGTGAAATGAAGAAATTAGATAATGTAGTTTCATTATTAAGAGGTCAAGCCAGAATTTGGTGGTTGAATGTGACGATGAGATCTTCTAGGGATTAAGTGTCTTGACTCTTCTTTCTAGAAGAGTTTAAGAACAAATATATAGGAGATCAGTTCATCCGACAGATGAAGCAGGAATTTATGAACCTAAAGCAAGGGAATCACACGGTGTATGAGTTTGAGTGTGAATTCAACAAGTTGAGTCGGTTTGCTGTCGAGTTAGTTTCTACAGAGAATGACTCATGTGATTGGTTTGTGGAGGGTTTACGAACCCGATTGAAAGAGTTATTGTTGGCACTTAACCTCTCTTCCTTCCAAGAGCTAGTGAACCGAGCTAAATCTTTAGAAAGAGCTCAAAATGAAAGATTTGTGGAGCAAATGATGCATTAAAATAAGAAATCTGGTGCGTCGTCTAGTTCTTCACAATCAAATAAGAGTAGAGGTTCAAGTTCTCGACCTCAGACCAGAGCATAATCCGCAGCATCCTCTGGTTGAGGATCAAATCCGGGAAGAGCAAGACAAGTTTATTCGGTGAAATTCAGAGTGGACAAGCCAAAACAATGTTAGCATTGTGGGAAGAACCATAGTGGAGTTTGGAGAAGAGTCTCCAGAGCTTGCTTTAAGTGTGGAGAGGCAAGGCATTTTATTCGAGGCTGCCCAATGATGACGGGAGAGCCTGCCCAATTAGAGAGATCCACGGTTGCACTGATGAGAGGTAGATGTCGAGTAAGAAATCAATCTGAGTCGACCGCTCAACCTGAAGTACGCTCTACCACTCGGGTTTACAACTTGAAGACCAATGAAGATTGTGATGATCCAGAAATCATTGCAGGTACTTTTCAGATAGTTGGTAAATTTGTTTTAGTTTTAATGGATCCAAGATCGAATTATTCCTATGTAAGTAGTAAAATGGTTAAAGATTTGAGCCTTCCGTTAGAGCATATTCGTAGTGAGATGGTTGTGACGAATCCATTAGGAAATAGTGCTCGGGTGAGACAAGTATGTCGAGTGTGTCCTATATGGATTCAGGGAATTGAATTCCCTGTTAATCTAATGGAATTACCATTTGATGAATTTGAGGTTATTCTTGGTATGGATTGGCTTTATCATTATTATGCCAACGTGGATTGTAGAGTTAAGCGAGTTCAAATAACAAGTCTTGATGGAGTAGAGGTTAGTGTGGTCAGTGAAAGAATTAATTATTTAGCTAATGTGATATCATTGATGTTGGCCCGGAAGTTAATGCTGCAAGAATTCCAAGTGTATATTGCTAATATAGCTGATACAAGAGTCAAATAAATGAAGTTTGAAGATATTCCGATAGTCAGAGAGTTTCCAGAAGTATTTCCGGATGAGTTACCTTTGTTACCTCCAGATAGGGAGGTTGAGTTTCAGATTGAAGTGATGTCTGAATCAACACCAATTTCAATGGCTCCTTATAGAATGACCCCAAAAGAATTGAAAGAGTTAAAAGTTCAGTTGCAGGAACTTCTAGAAAAATGATTCATTAGACCTAGCGTGTCACCTTGGGGTGCTTCAGTGTTATTCGTAAAGAAGAAAGATGGTTCGATGTGTCTCTATATAGATTATCGTCAGCTTAACAATGTGACCATAAAAAACAAGTATCATCTTCCAAGGATCAATGATTTGTTTAATCAACTCAAGGGAGCTGCAGTGTTTTCAAAGATTGATTTTCATTCAGGTGTATCATCAATTGAAGATCCAAGACAAAGATGTTCCTAAAACGGCGTTTAGGACTCGGTATGGTCATTACGAATTTGTAGTAATACTATTCGGGCTAACTAATATGCCTGCAACGTTCATGGACTTGATGAATAGAATTTTTCAACCGTATTTTGATCAGTTCATAGTCGTCTTTATTGATGACATCTTGGTGTATTCAAAGTCTAAAGATGAGCATGATGTACATCTTTGTGTGGTTCTTCAAACATTATGAGACAAGAACCTTTATGCAAAGTTCTCTAAATGTGAGTTTTGGTTGTCTGAAATGGCATTTCTGGGACATGTGGTTTCTGCAGAGGGCATTAAAGTAGATCCTCATAAAGTTAAAGCTATATTAGATTGGGAAATCCTGAAGAGTGTATCGAAAGTTCAAAGTTTCTTGGGTATTGCAGGATATTATTGAAGGTTTTTCAAAAACTTTTCGATGATATCTCTGCCCTTAAACAAATTATTAAGAAATGATGTACATTTTGAATGGACTCCTGATTTCTAGAATAGCTTTGAATTATTAAAGAAATTTTTGACAGAAGCTCCGGTATTGGTGCAACTAGAATCAAACAAGGATTTTACAATTTTCAGCGACGCTTCCCATAATGGTTTGGGATGTGTCTTAATGCAAGATGGGAAGGTAGTTGCTTATGCTTCAAGATAGCTTAAGCCTCATGAAAAGAATTATCCAATGCATGATTTGAAATTAGCAGTTGTGGTCTTTCTATTAAAAATTTGGCGATACTATTTATATGGTGAACGTTGTTACATCTTCACCGATCATAAGAGTTTGAAGTATTTGTTGACGCAAAAGAAGTTAAATTTGAGGCAAAGAAGGTGGATGGAGTTGCTAAAAGATTATAATGTAATCATTGATTACTATCCCGGGAAAGCCAACGTGGTAGTATATGCTCTTATTCGGAAGACTTTTACCGCTTTGCGTAGCTTGGATGCTAGAATTATGCTGAAAGAAAATGGTGCATTGATGGCAGAGTTAATGTTGAAGCCATTATTGTTAGAACATATTAAGGAGTTGCAAAAGAAAGATAATAAGTGTGTAACTTGGTTCGAACAAGTAGAGAAAGGTGGACTCAAGAATTTCGAGGTCAAGTCAAATGGGTGTATATATTTCAAAAATCGAGTGGTATTCCTTATGATGACGAGTTGAAAAGAGATATTTTGTATGAAGCTCACTGTAGCCCTTTAACGTTGCACCCAAGAGGAAACAAAATGTATCAAGATTTGAAAGAGCGTTTTTGGTGGCCAGGCAAGAAGAGAGATATTACAGAATTTGTAGCAAAGTGCTTAAATTGTCAACAAGTAAAAGCTGAGCATCAGGTGCCTTCGGGATTATTACAACCGATCTCAATTCCTCAATGGAAATGAGAAAAAATTACGATGGATTTTGTAACGGGTTTGCCTTTATCGCCGGGTAAAAAGGATTCGATTTGGGTAATTGTGGATCGTCTTACAAAGAATGCTCATTTCATCCCGATGTGAACAGAGTTTTGTTATGGAGAAATATGATGAATTGTATATCAAGGAGATAGTGTGACTAAATGGTGTTCCAATCTCAATAGTTTCTAATAGAGAACCTAGATTCACTTAGAGATTTTATAAGTCTTTGCAAGGAGCTTTGGGTACCCGATTGAATTTTAGCACTGCTTTTCATTCTCAGACTGATGGTCAATCAGATCGAACAATTCAGATTCTGGAAGATATGTTGAGAGCATGCGTGATTGATTTTATTGGATCGTAGGAAAAATATTTACCACTTGTTGAATTTGATTATAATAACAGTTACCAATCCAACATCAAGATGACACCATATGAAACATTATATGGAAGGAAGTGTATAACGCCACTCAATTGGTACAAGTTAAGGGATCGGGAAGTGTGTGGTCCAGACTTGATTAAAGAAGTAGAAGAAAATGTTCAAGTAATTCAGCACAATATAAAAGTGGCCTCAGACAGATAAAAATCATACGCCGATTTGAAAAGAAAAGAAATTGAATTTCAAGTAGGTGATAAGGTATTCTTGAAAGTATCACATTGGAAGAAAGTACTTCGCTTTGAGCATAAAGAAAAACTAAGTCCTAGGTTCATTGGACCCTATAAAGTTTTGAAAAGAATTAGACCAGTAGCATATCAATTAGCGTTGCCACCAGAGATGGAAAAGATCCACAATGTCTTCCATGTGTCTATGCTTAGGCGATATCGATCAGATCCTGTTCATATCATAACTCTAGATGAAATAGAAGTTTAATCTGATTTGACATATGAGGAAGAATTGATGCAGGTTCTAGCTTTTGAAAACAAACAGTTGCGAAATAAGACGATTCCACTAGTTAAGGTTCTTTGGAGGAACCATAAAGTAGAAGAAGCTACGTGGGAGCGTAAAGAAAATAAGAGAAAGCAATATCCCTACCTTTTTATTCAATGAAAATTCAAGGATGAATTTTCTTAAGGGGGAGATTTGTAATATCCCAATCATCAGGTTAGTGACCAAAATGTAAGAAATTTTAAACTCAGTGGTTAAATTTGAATAATTTGATAAATTCAAAGATTTATGGAGGAATTTTATGTTAGGTATTGTAGTAAATATGGATGGTTAACAAGGGCAAAATGGTAATTTGTAGGGAAGGATATTTTAATTTATTTTTTATTGGATAAGTATGTGGTAAATAGAGAAGTGTATGGAAACTCTTCCTTGCTCTTTCTTCTTCTTCTACATGAGCTCCATTCCTAGGGTAAGATTCTGAAATCTATGGTTTCCTTTAATTTTTGGTTTGGTAATGGAAGTTGAGGTATTATATAAGCTTAAGGAAAGCTTATATAGTATTAAAACAACAAGATGAGTGTTTTAGAGATGAAATTGTAAAATGGGTTTTAAGATAAATTTTTTATATGGGTTGGTTTTTAGAGTTTTAGTGAGATTTTTGACTTGTCAATGAGTTAATTAAAGGGTTAGGAGTATTAGAAATGATTAAGAGCTTGGTTGAAAACATGGCATGATTCTTAAATGTAAGTGTTTTAGTGAGAATTTGGTATGTTTAAGAGTATTAATTGATGACAAATTGGTTTGAATGAAAGAGGTTTAGTTTAAAGGCTTAAGGAATGATGTTATAATAGATTTGAGAGGATATTTAGGTGATTTTTGATGCAAAAATGGTAATTTTGGGCTTCGAGTATCGGTACCGTTAGAACAATACCGATACTTCAAGGGAAAAAATTGTGAAATTGTTAAGGGTAGTATCGATATCGGTTGAAAGGGTATCGATACTATACGGGTAATATCGATACCAGAAGGATGGTATCGATACCATTTTTAAGATGCAATTACAGAATGCTATATCGATATCGGTACCATGAGGAGGTATCGATACACTTGAAAGGAAGTATCAATACTGTTTGGGAAGTATCAGTACTGTTTGTGTAGTACCGATACTTCTAAACATGAAACGAAAATGTAGGGTTTCTTTCATCATAAGTTATTCTGATTGAATATATATGATTCGAAGAACGATATTGATTTTCGATTGTTTTGTGTAGTGATTGAACGTAATCGACTTCTAGTCAGCTCGATATTTTGAGTATCGATTAAAAAGGGTTAAGGATTTGGATTAGACTTCAGTGAGGCAAATATGAGTACAACTTATCAGTTTTGCAACAGAATTGAGGAAGGCTTGCAATAAGCCAACATCAGTGTTTTCGATTGAAAACTTTATAATTCCTTTTATGTTATATTTAAATATTTTATTCAAGTTATATTATACAAGCTATGTTTTATGATCATACGAATATGGAAATATGAACTTTGAACAAGTGAATGTGAACTTTAAACTAGTGAATGTGAACAGACTCTATGAGAGAGAAACTATGTGAATAAGAAACACTTTAAATAATGATTGAACATAATTATGTGATTAATAGCCCAAAGTATATGTATGAGGATTAGAGGTATAGTTGGCATGCCAAGAGTCGATGGTCTTATGTGGTCAATTGAGACAAATATGTGGTCATTCGGGATAAATATGTGGTCCTTAGGGACAAATATGTGGCATTTCGGTGCAAACATATGTGGTCATTTGGGACAATTATGTGGCACTTCGGTGCAAATTACGAGCTGCGGTGACAACATTAGTGTACAACCTCAATGTACTCAAATACGTAGCGTTCTCAGTAGTATACCTTGGACATTTGGAATAAAGAAATACAAAGTGAAACTATTCATAAGTATACTTTTGATATGAAAATAATAAGAGTTCTTTGTAAAACATTTTGAAAAAAAACAAATAAGATTTTGTTTATTAAGTTAGCACTTTTAGTATTGCCTCACTAAGTCATCGACTTAGCGTGTGATTTCTCACGCGTAGGTTTGAAGAAAGCAGAGGTCTAAGTTGTGGAGGATAACATATCATTGGAAGATCAGATCGAGACAAATTAAATATAGGTTTTTGGGTTAATTTTGTAAACTATTGGCATGTATTATCCTTTTTAATTTGAAATGCTCTGATTGATTTTGTAAACTCCTACATTTTGGTATTTATGTAAATTATTAAGATTTTATGTAAAAATATATGTGAAATGATTATTTTATTAAAGAAGTTTATATCTTTTTATTTTGATACAAAATGTTAATTTTGTTCCTAATTGTGAATTTTATATGTTTTGAAAAGTCAAATGTGACACCTCAGATTCGTATTCGGGTCGGGTACGAGTCAGGGGTGTTACAACTTCATCTTGATGGGTCATTACCTACCTACGTAACTCATATATGAGTCCCCGAGCAAACTTGTGATACCAATCTCTCTTAGTAAGAACCAAACTACTATAATACTTCAAAAACTTCAGGAGTTCCATCTCATACTCGAAAACAATTATATCTCCCTGAACCATATCCTAAAAGTGTTTTCATCTCTCAGCCAAATAATGCTCTCCAAGGAAACGATTCCTGAAGCTCTCCTTGAAGAAATCCCAAGTCAGACAGACATCAGGAACACTATTCACTACAAACTCCTACCTGGTGTGGGCATTCCTATCTAACAATGAAACTGCTCCTAAAAATCTCCTCGATGGATCTAAATCCAGTTGATCCATGCACCTCTCAGTGCCACAAAGCCAGCTATCATCCTTATTAGGGGCCCCTCTAGTCGGTACTCTAAACATCCTAACCCATTAGCGATCAAGGTCCGTGTAATGAGAACTTCAGGTGTGGTAATCGTTACTCTAGTTGTACCCTAAATCATCTAAAAAATTGTCTGCCCAACGTCTCGTACAACACAACTCTTACAAGCTTAGTCCTAACAACCGGTTCTCCTCTAACAGGTGTCATCATATCAATCCCGGGAGCAGGCGGTAGATCTCTCGAAAAAAAGGCTAGAAGGGACGGGAGGATCCACTGGCAGTGATGGGTCCTCAGCCGGATCTAAGAATCTAACATGTCGATTTCACGCACCAAAAAGTCGATGTCCTCGCCTAGCGCTCATAGCGATGAATTGTGAGGCTCACAACCCAAGGTTAAGAACTTAAGATTAGATTAGGCACTTGTAGTACCGTACATAGCTAAACTTATAAAATTTGGTGACATGGGCCTTATAGAAAATTTTGAAAAATGTTTTAAAATAAAAAATTTATTTAATACCATCCATAGTCCGAGGTTTAAAAACTAAAAGCTATGATATCAACTAAATATAACCCCCTAGACCTAGCCTATGCGTCACGACTAGGTGTAGCGAATTACGTTAAATTTCCTAAACATTTTTCGATACTTATAAAATCATAATATATGCAAAACGATTGTATAACATGAAAATCATAAGTAAAACAAATACCAAATATCGTCAAGTGTAGTAATCAACAACACATCAGTAGGAGAACAAAATATATCGTAAAACAAGTATAACAAAATAAAGGCACATATCACCAAAATAAAGGTAGTTCGAATGATGAAAACATTACAACAAAATGTATAGTATGAAATGTGTTGATCCTCCAAGTGTCTGGTTTAGGGTACCTATCCAAAAATATCTGAAATGGGAAAATGTTTGGGGAGTGAGTTGGGGAGCTTAGTGTGTTACAATAAGTGCATAATAAATCATACTAGTAAATTTTAGAAAATAGTTTAGTAAAAATTTCATAAAAGTGACAATAAAGTTTTCAGTAAAAACATTTAATTACCCTCTAACTGTGCAATATATGAAGTTCCAAAACTACATCCATAAGGACTTACCCTAGGCCCATTAGGCGTTGGAGCCAACCTAAGGGAGTACCCTGGGCCCTTAGAGCCTACCCAAGAGAGTACCTTGGGGCCTAAGAGCCTACACAATGATCACCTTAAGTTCGTAAGGATTTGCCAGCTTGATAAGAGCTGAACCTCTATACTTCAAAAATTAGGCATATTATATTTTCCAGTGAAAATAAATAACTAGAGAGCATGTATTGGACAAACATAGTTCATAACCGGTAAATAAGGAAATCATAATATCAAGCAGGTAAAACATTTATAAATCAATTCAGGTAACCCATTATATTTCAGAACAAATAAAACAATTATATAACACACAAGGAACACACCTCAAAAAGATCAGTCTGGAAGGACTAATGAGCACCGGCCTTACTATGCTCTACATCAGTACTAAAACCTAAACATAATGAATTCAAGTTAATATTAAAAAAATATTTAAATCTAAATATTCATAGGGTTCACAGAACTATACGAGTAATCACAGGCTCAAGCGGTTGGAAGGATCGAGATAAACTGGGTCGAGCTGACGAGCAGTCGGGAGGGTCGAGCTGACGAGCAGTCGGGAGAGTCTCGAGTACCTTCAACAATCAATATCATAAATTAGTCCTTTACCTTAAATTAAATGCACTTAAGTAAATTAATTAAATAAATATGCATGCTCGGGGTTAACGTTCAATTCAAAGGCTTTCGGGTTAGAATTTGATAAAATAAACTTTAGATTCAGACTCAGGACATGAAAAACATAAAACTATGATTTTTCAGAAAATTTAACTTTTTTGTCAAAGTTAAAGCCAACACTTGTCAAAGTCAATGGTTCGGTCAAAGTCAACGGTTCGATCAAGGTCAACATGTCAGACAATTCTAGTTGACTCAGACCCGTTTGAGTTGACCCAATTCGAGTTGACTCAATTTCTAAATAATTCAAGCCAGCCGAGAAGCCCACGCGCTAGGATGACGCGTGCAACGACCAAACGGGGCAAGGATGACGGTCGATTTCTCATAAAGCTCAAATTGACCATATTAACTCAAAACATAACCAGAAATCCATTAAAACATGAAGTAATAAAACGGAAAAAACGAATCAGAGCTTACCAACACCGATGAAGAAGGAAAAGATAGCGGTGAGGTGGCCCACTGGCTGGGTTTTGGTTGAAATGGGACAAGGATCGCGGTGGGGGTAGCGGTGAGGTTACTGAGCTCGAGATCGATCGAAATTCTTTGAAAATTGAGCAGCGATGTCTAAGGTTTATGACGAGCCTTCGACGACTTATTCAAGACGTTTTACTACGGATATCGAGGAACGACCAGAGGGGTTTTGATTACGGGTGGACGACGATCACTTCGATGGGGGCGGTGTCAATCACGGACAACGGAGAGGGCGGTAATTGACTATAGAAAGGGGCCACATAAATTTAATATTTTGGGGATTTTTGTTTTGTTTCCAATTGAGATAACTTTCTCGGGTTTAAAATCCAATCCAGGTAAACTTAAAAAATATTTTTATTATTATAAAATTCAAACATTGACCTAACCTATTTGGTAGGAGTTTAGAAACCATATTATCAGTTAGGGGTTCAAATCCCCTTAGCTTCGTGTATTAAAATATCTCACTATTTCAACCTTTTTTTTTCTTGGGCTGAAAGGGGAGGGGCAAAACCAGATCTGGGTCCCTGAACTTTCAAGATTTTAAAAGTTGACCCTTAAGTTTTCAAAGTCTTACGAATAGGTCCTCAAAATTAATTAGAAAAATTCAAATTAAAGTCAAATGAAATTTGGGGTATTACATAAATTTTATCAATCAAGTCACTTAATTATCAACAAACTCAGTCACTATTAACAATTGAAAGAAATGTTGAAGTTTCAACATATGAGTTTGCTCCTTCACAATAAAATAAACAACACTTACTGTTATTGCAAAATAAATGCTTGATGATTTGTCATCTATTCTAGGATTAGATTCATTGAATTAAATTAAAAAGAGAACCAGATTAATATATTGTGCAAGTAATAATAACTAAATATATAATTATATAAATTTATTTAACTGTCATGTTAAAATTTTCGTTAAGGTTACTGACTTGATTGATATCATTCAAATAATTAAATAACTTGATTAATAAAATTCATCAAATGAGTTCTTGTAATTTAGTAAAATCGATGCAGATGTATGATTTGAACATATCCTAAAACCTTTATCAGCTGAAACTCCCCCTTGGAATTGCCAAAAATGCCTTCTCACCACTGCTTAAAACTTAATTTCTTATGTTTGTCATAGAACTGCAGTTTGTGAGGTCTTTAACACTGGTGCTGGTTTTGTAGTCTATGTTTTTATGACCTGTTAACCTGTTAATATCTTATATGATTTCATCTTGGTTCAATAATTTAATATCTTATATATATGCTTTTAATTAAAAAAAGTTATATTTATGTAAAATTTTCACTGCTTTTACCTGCTGATGATATTTGATGCAACCATTGTGCATTTTATAGAAGAAAACAGGGGAAGGAAACAGAGGAAGCTGCTTTAATCGATACAAAAAGTTATGCCGTATGCTATTTATATAAGAAAAACTACTATGAACAAAGGAGGAGGAGTAAAGGTTTTTACATAAGCATGTTGGAGGATATCTACAACAGATAGAAGAAGAAAGATCCAAAAGGTGAAGGAAAAACACAAAACAAGATTAAAAGAAAATTGTTTGTAATCCTAAAAACCTGCCGGCCATTTCTCTTCCTTGTTTTTCTACAGGTGAAGTTCCATACTATCTAAGAATTCCCAACAGATATGGGTCTTTCGGCTAACCCCAGAGGGGAGCGGGACCTTTGCCTGCTGATCTCTCGCCTTATATCCGACTGCTGCAGCGATAGATGCTTGATCATCTCAAACTCTCGCTTTATCTTCATCACTTGGCTATGAATCGGTACGTCTTTATATTCAGGGTCGTCTTGTAAATTTTGATGGCCCTATGCCATAATAGTAAAATATGCCTTTTAAAACTAAAATATTATTTAATGTGGGTCTTGGACTTGAAAATTATTGGATCAAACATCTTAAATATACATATATACAAAAGACTTAAAAAATTTTGGAGATCCTTACAAAAATTGGACCATGTGCGGTTGGGCAGCCCGCACAGGCCCAAAACCGGCCCTGTTTATATCCCTCGTCATCGTCTCTTATAAACGAGTTGCTGTTGCTGTAGTTTTCATGGCTGCTGCTCATCTTCCTTTGCTCCATATTCTGAACGCAAACGCACCCTTTTTCTCCCTGATGGAAAAACTGCTAATCCTTCACGCCAAACGCCTTCTATACCTGTTTTTTGGGTCGTTTTAAGGGTTTAGATATATATATGGTGGGAGTGGGAATAATGAAAATAACGTGATTTCATCACGAACAGTGGGGAAAGGAAGCTGGTGGGTAAGGGCGTGCAAATTTCTCCACCTGTACTTATTTAGAAGACTCTTTTGAAAGGAGGGTGATCACCTTATGATAAATTAACCAAAATTAAAATATATTAAACGTTTAAATATGTTAAAATTTACATATTTTTATATAATATATTAATAATGATACTTACAGAAACAAATTTTCTATGGTTTATAATGATTACAAGATAATATCCATTAATAACATGCACACACCTTCTGACACAACTGTTTAAAACTAAGATCTCTAAGGAGAATAAAACTCATTTTGAATAAAACTATATATTTAATATAAGTTTTATATTAAATAGATTTGAATTTGGTTGTGTATTGGAGACATGGTTATGTCCCTTTTTAATGTCGTTATTTTGGGTTGATGAAATAATTGTTTGGTGTGTGAAATTGGGCAAGTGTTAGGTGGCTGGAGTTGCCCAACTGCTGATTCACATTTGGTAAGAGGAATTTGCTTGTTTGACCGGTTTTTGTGTATTCAACATGATAGAAAAAATGGGTGTGTATGCAACAACGACGTTGGTGACTGCTACAATGAAATCGTCATGGGACTCATTGGGAAACTTATTTGGTCAACTTGGTACGAATACATGGAAATTTCTTCATTTTATTTTACTTGAAATAATGCATTAGTGTTTTCACAATAAATTGGTTTTAAAATATAAATATAATATTATCTATTTAGTTTTATTATAATTGAATATTTCTAATTTTATACTTCTATGTGAATCATGTGTTTAAGTAAAATTAAATATAAAATAATAGTGTCGGATCATAAAATCTTCTAACGTCGCCAACACAATCACATGATTAATTTTCATTAAAACGAAAAGAGTATCACTTGTAAAATTGTTAAGTGGCTACGACGCATATATTAGCGTCAAGGATATTCCGTCTAAAAACTCAACCCAAAATAAAACACATTTATATCTCTCTTTTTTAACTTAGATCTAGATTCAACGAATCTCATGGATCTGGGTCCAGAACGAGTATGTTAAAAAAAGACCATTTGATCTATTTTTTAACTTAATAAAATTGTCATTGACTAATTTCACATCATATCTCAAATTGAGGAAATATTAATTTCAATACAACTAGCGACAAAATAAAAAACGATAAACTAAAGTCTTAAAAAATTCCAACACAATTACACAAATGTCTTTTGAATAACACAAACATTAAAAAAAATGTAGATCATGAAACATTTTAGTGTCGCAAGCCTAGTTTAAAACATATTAGAACTCAACTCTACAAGAACTCACGTGTCTCCCTTTATAAAATATTTATTTATATTTTAAAACATATTATGTAATTTATACATATTTTAAAACCAAAGGTGGACTTTCCTATAAATAGATCATATATGGTATTTTAGTGTCAGATCTGAACTTGATTCCGTACTTTAATCAGAAGATTCAGATCCGGTTCGAATCCGTTGGATCCAAAATTTTAGAATCCAAACCCTATAAAATAGACCTGAATCTATGGATTCAGGTCGGGTCTAGGATCCATTGCAATCCTTATTGCTTATGCTCGTGGATTTAACTTTCATTATTTTATGATTTTAATTTTCTTTTTACGTCCATATTTATAATTATATTTATTGTATGAGTTTAGAACGAAAAGAATATTTATTGTAATGAGTAAATCAATTTTTTAATTTAATTAATTTTTAAAAAATACGTGATTCTAAACATTTATTATTAGTCGATTGAGGAGTAATCCTGTTGATATTCAAAACTGCGAAGTTCAAGTTCCACGGTTGCTTATCCACGTGTCTTGTTTTTCAAACCAGGGACAGCCAATCATGATATATTTTAATTTTTCCCTTAATATACTAAAAACACAAATATGTAAGGTTATTATTTATTGTTGGGTCCACAAAATTGTATCTTAATTTTTAGGGTAAATTACACCATTGGTTACTCAATTGTCACTTTTTTACGTTGGCCACAAAACTGAAAAATTCTGAATTTATCATTCATCTTTTGAAATTCATTTTCTTGGTCACTTGATAGTTAACATCTTTGAATTTTCTAGGTAAATTTATGGAAAAAGCTATTGGAAAATTTCTTTTAAACTCATATTTTCATGCTCTCTTTGATTCATCAATGTTGGTATTTTTTTTTTCTAAATTCAAATGGTGGGGAGAAAACTAGTATATCTCGATTCTACGATGATCAAACGGCGGGGATACCAAATCAAACCAAGATAAGGTCGAAACATTAATTTAAGTTTTTTTTTATTTCAAATAAAACTGAACTGGGAATAAGAAAGAGGGGAGAAAGAGAATGTTTTGGCACCAATTATCTTGCAAACGATGATTGAAGATGGTGAAGAAGAATGTTGGTCATGGAAAGATGAACGGTATAATATTATGTTAATTTCATTATAGAACTGCTCAAAATCAACGTTTTGGTACGTGTGTTAAACAACTTGCGAATGGGTGACAAAAAATGAATTTAGAAAGTTGGGTGATCAAAACAAAAATGAGATGAAAGTTGAATGGTTTAAATATGACATTTTCCCTTAATTTTTAAAAATATAAAAGGACAATATCATATTTAAACCATTAAACTTTCATCTCATTTTTGTTTTGATCATCCAACTTTCTAAATTTGTTTTTTTTAAATGTTTGTGATCAAAATGAACTCAAAACTAAACATTTGGTATGATTTTAAAACAAACGATAGTGAAGTGACTAAAATGGAATATAAGTAATAGTTAGAGTGCTAAACATGTAATTTACACTAAAAATAAGAGGAGAAAAAGACAGAAAGGAGCATTAGCATTTTGGTAAAAATAGATGATGAGATGTCGGCCCGCCAGCAGCAGCCGTTGCGTGAAGGATGGGACTAACGGTTGCCAGCAGGCGGTCGGAGATTTGCTTCTCTCTCCGCTAAAATATCATCTCCAAATATACTTCAGATTTTTTCTAATTCGTTGGAATCTAAAAGTAGAAAAATACAAAAATTCCAACGGTGAGGGATGACGTGGTATAACTCGGGATTTGTGCTGGCCTCAATCACCAATGGGAGTTCAACTCGTGTCCAACCAGTGGGTTGACTAAATCTTACAATGATCATGATTGTTGTAATCTGTTTTCGTGTTGATACAACTCTCCAGTTCTTCTAGACAAGTATGGTTGTCATCAAACAAATGACCTTTGATTATCTATTTTAACTCAACTTAGAAATATATTTTTGGATCAATTTGGTATAACAGTCACGAGATTTTTTACATTGTGAATAAAAATTTAGTTTCTTACTTTAAAAATGTTAGGAGTCGTCACCAATTAGTTTAGATGTGATTGAATCACAAAAAATATTTAAGTTTGCTAAAATTAAAGTTGAGTTTGGGGGCACAGTTACGTGTGAGGAAGGGTTAATATCCTCAAAGCGCCCGTAAAAACGACACTCACTTCATCACAAATATTTTGTTTAAATTATGAATGCAATTAATGTATTTTTTAGATTAATAAATAATTTTTATTTTTAAGGATAATCTTGGATTCTCTAATGGTTATGAGAACCAAAATTAGGCTCAAATATTCTAAAAATTCATGTATTAATCTACATTAGAATTTAGAAAGTGTAGTCTTTTATGGGCAAATTTCGAGTATTCTTCAACATCTAGGAGAATATAGAGAATATTGTCACACTAAAAAATGTATCTCGATTTTTGTGAATTATACTCAAAATGGAAATCCACAACTCTTTAAGATCCCTAAACTCTCTAACGTCTAAGAGAGTTTAAAGGAATCCCAAAAAATCCAAAAAATCTCATGTTTCTTGTAAAGTATTTTAAAAAATCAAGATAAGAATCTTTTATTAAATAACATTAAAATCCTTCAACGTCTAGAAAAATACCAAAAGTTCATCTAACTCATGACTATACCTTGTTTGAAAGTAGGATGAAATTACTAAAAATATATCTCTAGCCTTTTATAATGATTATGAGATTTAAAATTTGATTGATTCGAAAGAACTTAACTTACTCAACATCCAGAGTAAGAAAGGTTCCCCTTGAACAACCATTGTTTTAAAAAATGTAAATAATTGATACTAACTAATTTTAAATAGATATAAGATAAATTCGAAAGATTTTAGTATGGCTAACATCTAAGACAATTGAATTCTCTTTGAATAATTATTTAAAATATAAAAACAAAGTTAATAAATTAATATGGAGCAATAATGAAAATCGAGGGAATTCAACTGGCCTAACATCTAAGACAAGAAGATTTCTCCTCAATTTATTCCTATCACCATTTAAAAAATAAAGAAACATATAAATATTTTATTTGAAATGGACTAATGATTAAAATAATAAACTTAATATATATACTATTTACAAAAAATATTTAATATTGAGTGCGCATAATAAATACAAAAACAATTAAATAAGAATGAGGAAAATTGAATGTGGAAAAAATATATTTTATAGACGTTCAAAATTGTATACTTTAAATAATATATATACGTTTAAAGGGTTTACTAATACATAAAATATAGCACATGACATAAAAAATCATTTGTATACTATAATATATATATATATATATATTCGATGTAAAAAATACATTAAAAAAAACGCTAACCAAAAGTACCTTACAACTATTTAATGAAAACGACAACTAAGACTAAAGGAATATAAATTAAAGTATCCTAAATTAAGATTTACACAATAGCTAAATTAAAGGGTTTGAAAATTGTAAGACCACATTAAAAAAATAAAAACTAAGGTTACCTAAATTAAAATTAATTAATGGCTAAACTAAGGGTCTCACAAATTAAATGTCATCATCTAAACTTTAAAATGAAACTACCACTAAGTTGATATTTAGG